TAGTGCCATCGAATCAGCAGCACAGCCCTAACACGCGCGCGCACGCACGCATTCCGCCAGGCACAACACACGGCGTGTTTGTCCTATCAGACGATGACAGAGAACAGGCGCGATCATCTCGCCTCTTTTCCGCTCCACAACAACAACAACAACAACAACAACAACAACAACAACAACAACAACAACAACAACAACAACAACAACAACAACAACAACAACAACAACAACAACAGGGGGCTGAAGAGGATGCAGCCCCAGAATCCACGCGTGCGCCACTGTGCCAGCTTGCCACGTGCTCGCGCTTCCTCCACAAACCATCGGTGGATCGAATGCGCAGCACAGGCGCCGTGATTCCGGGAACGAACATGGTTCGTTCGCTCCTGTTTCCCTGAGCTCGCATCATACTGTGAGGGGAGGGGGACGGCTGTCACATCACACTCACATTACGTAACACTGCACTGTGTTCTTCATGGGTTGTTCTTCTCACATGTGCCCTTTCACCATCGCACCGTCGTGTTTCTTATCGTTTGATTGATTGTGTGTGTGTGTGTGTGTGTGTGTGTGTGTGTGTGTGTGTGTGTGTGTGTGTGTGTGTGTGTGTGTGTGTGGCTGACAGGTGTACACGGACAGCGCCTTTTACTTTGACACGTGCGCACGCATGAGCCACTGAGGCTAGCACGCTGCTTGACCTGCACTTGTTGTGAAGTTGTCCACTGAACGCACGTTCACGCACACGCACACACGCACATATATACACACACACGATCACTCACTCACACGCCTCCGTTTGTACGTCTTCACTCAAATCGTACGTGACACATGTCCCCTTCATCGCGTGTGGTGTTGTGTTCACCTCAGGACCACTGCAAAGGCGCTTCTCTCCTTCTACGAGTGTGTGTGTGTGTGTGTGTGTGTGTGTGTGTGTGGCTGTGTGTGTGTATCTGTGTTTGTGTGTGTGTGTGTGTGTGCGTATATATACATATGTCTGTGTCTGTACACGTTGACAACTGTGACCGCTAACATCACACGACTCAGATTTCGTGAGTGCTGAATGACTCACCTCATTGTTTTGCCTGTTTGGCGGGCACCAGACGCCCGTGCAAGTACCTGACCGGACCCTGCTGCACACCGCGGCTCTCGATGATGGCACCTTCGTCACGCTCTTCCTTGGTGCGTACTCGACCATGTTCACACTCTGCGCTTACCCAAACCACAACGGCGTGCGCGCCCACAATGGCTCGCCTTGATCCCTGACTCTGGCTGCGCGCGCACACACACACATGCACACACACATACACACATGCACACACACACACACCACAAATGCCAGGTGTGGATGAGAGTTTCAAGGATGGTGCAGTGAGGGAAGAGGCCGGGCAGTCGCTTCGCGTCTGTGGCGTTCCCCTCGCCACTGCACTCGAGCGCATGGGGCTCACCCTGGCTGACATCTGGCCCACCGCACAACAGGTACGTGTGTGTGGCTGTGTATCTGTCTGCGTGTGTGTGTGTGTGTACGTATGTGTGTCTGTGTGTCTGTGTGTCTGTGTATATATGTATGTATTTACACATACATGTGTGTGTGTGTCTTGTCTGTCTGTCCTTGTCTTGTCTGTGCGCAACATCCCGTTACGCGCACACACGCGCGCGCGCGCTCCGTTGCACTTTCCCTGCCTCTAGTCCTCTTGTTTGAATGCACGTGCTGTTGTCATCATCGCACCGTTGTTGTTTGCGACATGTCATCATTCATCCGACATCCATCTCTCATTTCCAAGAATCATGACGTCAACCCCCCCCCCCCCCCTCAGGGAGAGAAAGTGACCCTGTGGACGGCCAAATTCTTTGTTGCAGCACAGACGGTTGGGGAATCCGCTGAAGCAGCACTGCGTGCCATTGCCGTCATCCGAGGCACTGAACCCAGCGCAAGCACAGAAGGTACACGCGCGTGTGCTGCCTCTGTCGTCATGTTTGCAATGCTGTTCCGCAACTGTTTCCCCGAACACCCACCTCCACCACCACCACCAACACCAACAACACCACCACCAACAACAACAACACGCACTCGGCCTGTCACTGCCTCCATCCACACCAACCACCAACCACTCACGCCACGCATCGCTTACGTCAACTCGCGCGTCTCGACACGCTGTCGCCGCCACGTACGGGCGGAGGTGTGTTCCAAGCGCGCATGTGCGTGCCGGATGTCTTGCATCACAAGGCCATTCAAGCATGCCTCGCGCTGTTTGCCAACGCTTTCCACCAACGTGACAACCCATGACGCCATCGCTTGGTCAGCGAAAACCTGCCCTTGTCAGACAATTTATGCAAAACATTAAATGATTTTCGCCCTGACAAACACCCAAGCTCCACGATGACGCAAGCGACTGACCAGTGGCCGAGTGCTTGCGTGCTGGCGGGTTGGGGTGCATGTCGCTTTGGTTGGCGACAGTGCTTGGGTGAAGGGCACACACAAGCAAGCAGGAACGCTTACTTGACGAATCCCCCAACGCGCCGTCACATGTCACACATCCCCACACACGCCGCCGCGCAGCCGTTCTTGTTTGACATCCTGCGCCGCCGCGTGCTGCACGCTTTGTTTTGGCGTTGTGTTGGTTGATTTAGGTGGCAGGCGTCCCTCGAGCGCCATCGCTCTCTTCCACCGCCTTCTCTTCCTCGATGTTCACACACGACATCGCTCAGTCACCATGGCGTGCAGCTGCTGTATGCACGCGTGCCCTTGGCTCATTTCCCCACTTACCAACCGACCGAGACCCTAAACACCATCAAGGCAGCAAGCTACCTCTCTTCTTGACGGCCTCAAGCAACACCCAAGCAACAAAACCGAGGAGAGCGGCACACGCCCGCCACCAACCAACCGACTTCCGCACACATCGAAACCCCCAATCGCATCACAGCCATTTGAGCACATTCTCAGATTCATTCAACACAAGCTACAAGCAGAGCCGAATCCCACAAATCCAACTCGACAACTCGGCGACTTTCTTCCAACATGTATGGAACCCTCCACAAGGTCAGGCAATCTACGTGTGCCTGCGCGTGTCTGTGCATTTGCGCGTGTCTGCTTGTGTGCGTGATAAGAGCGCCACGCTGCAAGCAAGCAACCAATGACTTGCCTGGTTTGATTGAATGTCGTTTCTTATCGCATATGCTCACACACACACACACACACACACACACACACACACACACACACACACACACACACACACACACACACACACACACACACACACAGGCCCTCGCCGCTTGGGTGCAGTCCCTTCCAGATGGTGAAACCTTGATGACGATGGTGCTGGCCGAGGTCAACTTTGCTGGCAGTGCTGACGACTTCTTTCGCTTCTACACCGACGAGCAGACAACCGCCTTTCTCGGAGCCATCGCCAAGGTCACGGGGCACACAATCGAGGACTGCAAGTATCACGCTGGGCGCTGCTTCCTCTTCGGTCTTCTGGAGAGCGGCTACGGTGACGCCCTCCGCACCCTCGGCGATGACTTCTACACCATGCTCGGCAACCTGGACAGCCTCCACGAGTCGTTCCTCCCTTCCTTCCCCAAGATGCGCGCGCCCTCTGTGCGGCCCGTCCGCAACGATGATGGCTCCCTCTCCATCCACTACTACAGCAGCAACGCCGGCCTCTCCAACTTCATGATGGGCGCCCTCGAAGCATGTGCTCGGCAACTGTTTGACTTGGAGCTTTCCATGCACCACCGTGTGAAGAAGGACGACGGCAACAGCCACGATGTCTTCCACGTCTTCATGGACGAGAAGTAAGCTGTTATGTGCATGCGTGTGTGTGTGTGTGTGTGTGTGTGTGTGTGTGTGTGTGTGTGTGTGTGTGTGTGTGTGTGAACGTGTGTGTCTGTGTGTGCGTGTGTGTGTGTTCGTGTGCATGTGGGTCTGCCTGCCTGCCTACCTCTTCATCCGTTGTGCTTGCACAACCGTGCCCAACCGCACGGGCAACATGTCACACGAGTAATTCCTCACGTAGATCATTTCTTCTGTCTCACACACATGATGTCACAGGGGCTACGGCACCAAGCGCAAAGAGGATGAGGAGGCGAAGAAACAGTGCACGGTGGCCATGCCACCCAGCCTCACGAATGACCTCTTCCCATGGCACGTGGCCTTTGATCGCGACATGAAGATCGCGTCGCTTGGCAAACACCTTGCCTCTCGCCTGAAGAGGAAGCAGATTGGCGCGCAGGCCTGGCAAGTGTTCAAGGTCGTGCGGCCATCAAGCATGCGTCTCAAGTTTGACGACATGCTGCAAGTGCAGGGTGCGCCCATTCTTCTCTCCGTCGACGCCAAGCACCTGACGCACGAGGTAACAGTCGATGAGAGCGTGGTGACGCTGACGCACCATCTTCCCCAACTGCAAGTGACGGACCCCTCTGGCGCGCGTGGCAGCGAGTCGTCAACAGGCTGCCCCTTCTCGGGCACATCGTCGTCCTTCAGCTCCAACACGTCATCAAAGCGCTCCTCGGCTGACATGCTGCTGCGTGCAGCCCGGCTCACAAGCAAGGTGGACAACATCAAGCTGCACGGGCAGATCACGTACCACGAGGAGTCCGACCTGCTGCTCTTCGTCGGCGTCCCGGCCCTCCACTCCCTGGAGGAGATGGAGGCACAGGGCATCAACCTCACCGAGCTGCCTCTGCACAGCCACGGACGCGAGTTCCTGTATGGCGCCATGTATCAGTCTGCCTCTGCCAAGAACACCAACGAAGTCGACAAGCGCATGGCTGAACTCGACCACTCGATGCTGGAGGTGCAGCAGAAGAAGGAGCAGATTGATGCCCTCCTCCACAGCATCCTCCCCCCGGTACGTGTGGTTGTGTGTGTGTGCGTGTGTGTGTGCGTGTGTGTGTGTGCGTGTGTGCGTTTGTTGTGTGTGTGTGTGTGTGTGTGTGTGTTTGTGTGTGTGTGCATTAGCAGCTAAACTCGCACTGCCTGCTCACAACTGCATCGCTTTGTCTTTCCCCTTCCATTCCATGACACAGGTTGTTGCGAGCTCACTGGCGCGCGGGGAGATTCCACCAGCCGAACACTACAAGCACGTAAGTGTTGTGCTGCCGTGGTCTTTTTCAGTGGCGGGCGTTTTTGTTTCCTTGCATGCAAGCAAATGTGCGTGTGATGTGGTGCGATGTGGGTTGCCTGCAGGCACACACGAGTGCACGCTCACGCTTCTTCTTTGCCCTGTTAGGTGACTGTGCTGTTCTGCGACATTGCGGGCTTCACCAACATCTCCTCCGAAGTCCCAGCCACCGAGGTGTGTGTCTGTGTGTGTGTGTGTCTGCGTGTGTGTGTGTGTGTGTCTGTGTATGTGTGTGTGTGTGTGCGTCTGTGTATGTGTGTGTGTGTGTGTGTGCGTCTGTGTACTTTTCTGCCTTTGTCGGTCAAACCACCCACCCTTCCATTCCCCTTCCGTCCATGCGTGTTCGCTTCCTCCTGCCCACCATATCATATCACCCGCCTGCCAAGCAACTCACACAACGATTCCCTCGCATACACACGCACGCATTCATGCACACGCACAGATCATGAAGATGCTGCACCATCTGTTTGTGAAGTTTGACGACCTTGCCGACAAGCACGGCTGCTACAAGGTGGAGACAATTGGCGACGCGTACATGGTGGCTGCAGGCTGCCCGGAGGAGTGCGAGGACCACGCCGTACGCATTGCCCGTCTTGCCATCGACATGGTGCGCACGGCTGAGACCGTCAAGTCGCCGCTTGACGGCGAGCCGATTCGCATCCGCGTTGGGCTGCACTCTGGTCCACTGATGGCCGGCGTTGTTGGCCGTGCGCGCCCACGCTACTGCCTGTTTGGCGACACGGTGAACGTCGCCTCGCGCATGGAGAGCAACGGGCTGCCCGGGTGTATCCAGGCGACATACCGCTTCACGCAGGCGCTGCCGACAGATCACGAGTTTGAGATTGTGCCGCGCGGGCACATTGACATCAAGGGCAAGGGCCACATGAAGACCTTCCTGCTGCTCGGTGCTCTGGACGACGAGTGCATGGAGCCCCTCATGCCGTCGCAGAACAAGATGGAGGACATTGCCCCGCACCTGCTGAAAATGACTGCTGCGCGCGAAACTGTTGATGACCGGCTTGCCGAAGTTTCCACTTGTGCGACATCGCTGCGCAACCGTAGGGCCCTCCAGCGCAAGGCGTCATACATGGTCTGACTCTGCTCACTCGAGCACCGTACAGACGTCGTGCTTGTCTGCGCCGTTTGCTTCACCGGGACACACCCTCCTACTTTCTGCTTTCTGTTTTTTTTTTTTTTCGTCTTTTTCGTTTGCTTTACTGACATGGAGCTGTGGTGACACGGCGGGTGGTGACTACGCTGGCTGCGGTGCAGTCAGTTGTTGCACGTGTGCGTGCATGTGGATGTGTCCCTGCTGAAAGCTGATGAAGACACTGCAAGTGTTTGGTGTGCATGTGTGTGTGCTTGTGTGTGGTTGTGTTTGTGCTTGTACGCGCGCGCGTGTGCGCATATGCTTCCTCTTCTCATAATTTCGTGCATGCTCGCTGTCTTTGGTTTGATGCTGGTGTTGACAACGCCCTCAGAGGGTTGGCTCTCATTCACTACTGCTTCGCTTGCATTTGCTCTTGACTTTACGTCTCATGCTCTCTGTTTGTTCTCAGTAAACCTGTGAAGCATCTAACCTGTACCAACACCGCCCTGCTGCCCCACACACACACGCACACATACACACACATGCACATACACGCACACGCACAATCCTACAATCGTCGAGCAACTGTTGCCTGACCTGACCAGCTGACCAGCAGCGCACGGGGGATATCCGTTGCAGACCAACTCGCACCAAGGGAAGCGGGGTGACGTCAACGACCCGCCAACCAGCAGACCAGCAGTGACGACAGAAGGCACGCGTACGTGTGTGACACCTTTGCCATGCTTGCTCCCTTCAGCTCATTCCTATCTTCCAGGTTAGGTTTTTCAAAACAACAACCGCACGCGCACACAACTCTCTGGTCAGCTTCGAGGCTTCTGCTCTCTTGCTCTGTGCTTCTGTGTGTGTGTGTGTGGTCGTGTGTTTGGTCGGGAAGAGCAACGACAAACGTCAGGCTGACGTGTTGCGGGCGCGACAAACCCTGGCACTTGCTCGCTTACTCGCTCCTCGCAGCTGTCAACGTCAACAACAGCCACAGCAACACAAGCACAAACAGGCAAGCAAGAGAGGCACTTCCGACCTTGCACCTTGCCACATCTGTCTGTTGCACATGCGCTCATCTACCCTTGTCTTCGTCATGTCAGCCTTTTCTTTCTTCCTTTCCCTCCCTCACCCGTTCGGTCGTGGTCTGAGTGAGCAAGGGTTTGTCCCGTCCAAACAACCGCCAGCCAGCAGCAGCAGTGGCACCAACAAGCCAACACGACTCCTCAACAGCACACCCGACCCCTTGAACTCAACTCAAACTCAACCCAGCGCTCGCGCACTCAACCCAGCTGCGCTTGCTTTCTCGAAGTGACAGGAGCAACGTGGGCTCGCCCCCCCCCCCAGCGTCACGTTGCCATGCGCACACAAAGCCCCTGCAAGCAAGCAAGCCCCCCACAAGCCCCTCGTCGCCATCACCTTGAGGCTGACACCTTCTTCTTCGTCAGCCAAGCTTCGTCCGGCTGCCTGCAAGCAACCAGCCTGATGTTGCCGAAATTTTACAAATGATTTCAGTAGTTCTTCCGAAACCGTTTTCGTTTTGGATGCTCGCAAAGGGACGAAGGTTGCGCTGACGCCGTCCTGCTGGCCGCGCTGGAGTTGGGATGGTGCCGTCTGCGATGGCAACGCGCAAGGAACAGACACACGCAAGCAACGCCAACAAGGACAGCCAAACAACTGTTTGTTCCATTTGTTGTGCACACGAGACGCTTTGTGCCTCTTTCTTCCATCGCATGCGAGCCCCATTGCTCTTCTCGTCACCTTTTCAGCGCGTTGCTCCCACCATCTCTGTGGTTGATTGGTTGGTTGCGGCTCCGGTGATGTCTCTGATTAAAAGCGTCTTGAAATGGCGGTATGCCGCATCCCTCACAACCCGGACGGACCCCATTACACTCGTCTTCTCTTTGTGTCGCCACTGACAACGGCATGAGCAAGTGTGGCATGCAGGTTTGAGACTTTGCAGTCGCCGTCACTACCAACCGGCTGCTACAACAAAAGCCACACAAACTCGCCTCAACCGACACTGCCACGCGCTGTGGCACTGGAAACAGCAGCACCTCTGCCATTACGCCATCTGCACTCGCTCTGATGAAAGTGTTCATTTTCCAACCTTCACCCCAACACCACTCAAGAGCCCGCCCCCGCCCCACGTCCCGCGGCCCCACCTCGCTTGCATTGACAACCGTTCCTCCTTCCTTCCCGACCCACCAACCAAGAAAAGCGCCCCCTCGCCATACAGCCGCCGCATTCTCATAGCTCAAGACTTCAAGTTTCTTGTTCCAACCCGACCGCGGCATCGCAGCGGCTTCATTTCCCATCCGATCCCTCGATCGCAGCGTCGCTCTCGGCAATCTTGTACGCATTCTCCATACAAACCTCCTTGATCAAGACAACCGACCAGCGCCATGTATGGAGTTCTCCACAAGGTCAGGCAGGCGCTCAGAGCACGCGCAGGAGACGCTTTACTTGGTTTGCGATAGTGCGATGGCATCCGTTCTTTGCTCTCCTTGGCTGATCTGCCACCTGCCTTTCGATCCCTGTTGTCACTCGCCGGTGCCACCCAATCAGCCCCAAACACTTGCCTTTGCGTAACGTGTGCCCTTACTCGGTATGGTTCTGATGACATCTGTGATGGCCCCATTTTGCAGGCCCTGACGGCGTGGCTAACGTCGCTGCCAGACGGCCAACAGCTGCTGCATATGGTCCTGGCCGAAGTCAACTTTGACGGCAGTGCCGACGACTTTTTCCGCCACTACTCGAGCAGCCAGACGGCCGCCTTTCTCGCCGCCATCGCTAAGGTAACATGTGTGTCTGTGTGTGTCTGTGTGGCTGTGTGTGTGTGTGTCTGTGTGCGTCTGTGTGTCTGTGTGTACCTGTGTGGCTGTGTTTATGCGTGGCTTGTTAACGCACATCTGCATGTGAGTGCATTGCGCCCATCGCGCTGCTGCTCTTCTTTCCAAAGCTGACTGGTTGAACCATTTTTCCAATAATGCTCGTTCCAGGTGACCGGCCGCACGGAGGATGAGTGCAAGTATGAAGCTGGCAAGAACTTCCTCGTCGGTCTTCTGGAGAGCGGCTACGGTGACGCCCTCCGCACCCTCGGCGATGACTTCTACACCATGCTCGGCAACCTGGACAGCCTCCACGAGTCGTTCCTCCCTTCCTTCCCCAAGATGCGCGCGCCCTCTGTGCGACCCGTCCGCAACGACGACGGCTCCCTCTCCATCCACTACTACAGCAGCAACGCCGGCCTCTCCAACTTCATGATGGGCGCCCTCGAAGCGTGCGGAGCCCAGCTCTTCGACCTCGATCTCACCATGCACCACCGTGTGAAGAAGGACGACGGCAACAGCCACGATGTCTTCCACGTCTTCCTCGATGAAAGGTGCGGGCACAGCAATCACAAACACGAAGCAGTGCACTCGCGAGATTGTTGAGTCACTGGCAAGCAAGGAGACATGCTGTATTCGTTTGTTTTTATTTGCATGTTTTCTACAATTGCCTCTCATTTCTCGACATCTGTTCATGCTTGTGTTTCAATGGTTTCGGTGTTTGCTGCACTGGTTCCACTCGTGTCTCACCGACATGTATCTGTGGCACACACTCTCTCACAAACTCGCTCCCACACACACACACACACACACACACACACACACACATACACACACATACACACACACATACACACACATACACACACACACACACACACACACTCTCTCTCTCTCTCTCTCTCTCTCTCTCTCTCTCTCTGTGGTCTTGTTTGCAGTGAGTACGGCCATCAACGGGAAACTGACAAGGAGGCAGAGCAAGAATGCACCGTGGACCTGCCCACGGAGGTCACCAACGAGCTCTTCCCATGGCACGTGGCCTTTGATCGCGACATGAAGATCGCGTCGGTTGGCAAGCACTTGGCTGCCCGCTTCAAGAAGCAGCAGCTGGGCGCCAGTGCCTCGCACGTGTTCAAACTTGTCCGCCCACTCGGTATGTCATTCAGCTTTGACAGTCTCAAGACCACTCAGGGCGCCCCCATTCTTCTCTCCGTCGACGCCAAGCACGTGCGCAAGCTTGACCAACAGCAGCCGCAGCAGCCTCACCAGCACGTGCACGACGCGTCGTCTGCCAACACGTCCCACGCCGGAAGCCAGCGCCCAACGCTCGGGCCCGATCAGCTTGCTGACCGTGGCTCTGCTGTTGGCGGCTGCCCCTTCTCCTCCATGTCATCGGCCAGCACTTCTGCGGCCTCGTCGAAGCGCACATCTGTCGATATGATGATGCGCGCAGCTCGTTTGACGAACAAAGTGGACAACATCAAGCTGCACGGGCAGGTCACGTACCACGAGGGCTCCGACCTGCTGCTCTTCGTCGGCGTCCCGGCCCTCCACTCCCTGGAGGAGATGGAGGCACAGGGCATCAACCTCACCGAGCTTCCCCTGCACAGCCACGGACGCGAGTTCCTGTATGGTGCCATGTTCCAGTCTGCCTCTGCCAAGAACACCAACGAAGTGGACAAGCGCATGGCTGAACTCGACCACTCGATGCTGGAGGTGCAGCAGAAGAAGGAGCAGATTGATGCCCTCCTCCACAGCATCCTCCCTCCGGTACGTGGTCGTGCGTGTGTGTGTGTGTGTGTGTGTGTGTGTGTGTGTGTGTGTGTGTGTGTGCGTGTGTGTGTGTGTGTGTGTGTGTGTGTATGTGTGTGTGTGTATGTGTGTTGTGTGTGTTTGTTGTGTATGTGTGCATAAGTAGCTACGTTCGCACTGCCTGCTCACAACCGCATCGCTTTGCCTTTCCCCTTCCATTCCATGACGCAGGTTGTTGCAAGCTCACTGGCGCGCGGGGAGATTCCACCAGCCGAGGAGTACAAGCACGTAAGTGTTGTGCTGCCGTGGTCTTTTTCAGTGGCGGGCGTTTTTGTTTCCTTGCATGCAAGCAAATGTGCGTGTGATGTGGTGCGATGTGGGTTGCCTGCAGGCACACACGAGTGCACGCTCACGCTTCTTCTTTGCCCTGTTAGGTGACTGTGCTGTTCTGCGACATTGCGGGCTTCACCAACATCTCCTCCGAAGTCCCAGCCACCGAGGTGTGTGTCTGTGTGTGTGTGTGTCTGCGTGTGTGTGTGTGTGTGTCTGTGTGTGTGTCTGTGTGTGTGTGTGTGTTTGTGTACTTTTCTGCCTTTGTCGGTCAAACCACCCACCCTTCCATCCTCCCTCCCATCCATGCGTGTTCGCTTCCTCCTCCTCCTGCCCACCATATCATATCACCCGCCTGCCAAGCAACTCACACAACGATTCCCTCGCATACACACGCACGCATTCATGCATACGCACAGATCATGAAGATGCTGCACCATCTGTTTGTGAAGTTTGACGACCTTGCCGACAAGCACGGCTGCTACAAGGTGGAGACAATTGGCGACGCGTACATGGTGGCTGCCGGCTGCCCGGAGGAGTGCGAGGACCACGCCGTACGCATTGCCCGTCTTGCCATCGACATGGTGCGCACGGCTGAGACCGTCAAGTCGCCGCTTGACGGCGAGCCGATTCGCATCCGCGTTGGGCTGCACTCTGGTCCACTGATGGCCGGCGTTGTTGGCCGTGCGCGCCCACGCTACTGCCTGTTTGGCGACACGGTGAACGTCGCCTCGCGCATGGAGAGCAACGGGCTGCCCGGGTGTATCCAGGCGACATACCGCTTCACGCAGGCGCTGCCGACAGATCACGAGTTTGAGATTGTGCCGCGCGGGCACATTGACATCAAGGGCAAGGGCCACATGAAGACCTTCCTGCTGCTCGGCTCTCAAGAGGGTGAGGAGGTGCGTCCTCTTCTACCAACAGAAAACACAATGGCGGATCTTGCTCCCTACCTCCTCGAGCACGCGTCGAAGCGTCAGACCGTTGATGACCGCATGGCAGAGATTGCCACGTTTGCCACCTCTCGTCGCTCCCACCGCTTTGTGCAGCGCAAGGCCTCCTATCTCGTGTGAGGAACGGGACGAAAGCGCACCTCTCCCTTGCACACTGGCTTGTTCTCGGCACAGCCCGTTACAGCGGCGCACCCACCCAACTTCCTTCAAGACAATTCATTATTTCTCCACCGGCACGCATGATCGCCCTGCTTGCTGCAGGCTGTCTGATGCTTGCATGCTGCGTGCTGCTCTTCATCTTCATTTGTTGCTTTTTTTTTTTTTGCTTTGGTTTTGTTTGTGTCGTACAGACAACGTGTGCTTTCTCTCCGTTTCGCCTGTTCCTGCTTGCGCTTCAGTCGCTCCGTTACTGTTCCCTCATTTCAATTTCATGCTGCACATGCCGTCGAAAGCGTTATCATGAGAGCGGTCACATCACATCACATCACGTCTTCTTTGCAATCCCCCGCCCTGCCTCAGTTTTTGTTGCAGCTGTTTCTGCCCATGTATTTCTGCGCTTTTGTCCAATTTATGTCGCGCCCTAACATTGCCACGTGGTCGTTGCGATTCACAGTAAAGACGCAACAGAAGCAAGGAAGTGGGGTTGGAAGGATGACAACTGTGGTTGGCAGGCGCTGGAACAAGGCACCTTCCCGCTGATGCATGCTTGCACTTGCACACCGAATACAACAGCAACCACGTCCACATACACGGCCGGGCAAAGCTGTGCCATCGATGATCGTCACATGGAGACAGCGTTGGCGGCGCGAGAGAGTTGAAAGTCGGGCTGTGCCTTTCCCCACAGCTTCGGCAGTTGTGATCCAGAGAGGCAGGCAGCGACACGCTTCGCCAACTCAGCGCTCCAACGCGTTGCAACGGCATCCTCCTCTTCGTCTGGCTGGGACGTCAGGCGGACGTCAAGGTCGAGCGACAGCATGGGGAGGGACTCCGACACGACAGCACACTGAAGGAGAGGCACGAGCGGGTGCGGTGCGATCGCGTAGCTGCCACGCACGCAGGCAACAATTACTTCCACGCCTGTGGCAGCGAGCCCCGCAACAAGCTCCACCAGGTTGCTTGTCGACGCAGACATCACGTGGGCGCCTGAGTTGTCGTGAGTTGGGTGGGGAAATGCCAAGCTGGCTGGGTGAGTCACATGCTATCATGGCAGAGCGGGATGAATCGAGCGTGCGCGCGCGCGTGTGTGTGTGTGTGTGCGTAGAGGCTCACTGACATGTGCAATACACATAATCATGCACAAGGCGAAACACACACACACGCACGCACGTACACGTGCGCTAAGCTTGGTGAAACTGACGCACCATGTGATGGAGCAGCCTGGCCATAACCGAGCGTTGCAGTGGTCGGATCAACGCCTTCTGCTAGCAAACTCTCCAGCACGTGTGCAGATTTGAAAGTCCCGGCGACAACTGCAAGGCCGTCTGCGGCCGCAATCGTGCTCACCACGTGCGAGACGGCTGCAAGCAGCGGTGTGGGCAAATTCGTGTCTGACACGAAGCCAACACGCAGCTGGCTCGGGTGCGCGGGTTCACGTTGGAGATGAAGGTCGGCGGCAACGGCGGCCTCATGCTCTTTGAATAATGCCTCAACCTTGACATGTGACGGCGTGTGCAGATGTGTGTGTATGTTGTGTGTGCGTGTGTGTGTGTGTGCGCGCGTGTGTTGTGTGTGTTTGTGTGTTGTGTGTGTTTGTGTGTTTGTGTGTTTGTGTGTTTGTGTGTGTGCATATGTGTGTGTGCGGTGGAAGCGCAGAAACATGCCACGACTCAACAACAACCAAAGCAATAAACGTGGCTGCATGTGTCCCAAGGTGTCCCGGCGCCATACAATATCCCCCCCTCCCTTCTCCTCCTCCTCAAGCCCACCTTGTTGGCCACATTTTCAAACCCGCCATCCAACTGCACGCTGGCGAAGCCGTATCGGTCCAAATGTCCACCAGAGTGCTCCAGCTCAATCTGCATGCGTGCGTTGTGCGTCTTTTCGCAACCGTGCTCCAGCAGCACGGCCTGTCCCACCATCGGGTGGCGCGCATAGCCCTGAAGCCAAGCATGCGCGAAGGAGGGAGAACGAGGCGTGTCAGCGAGAGGCACGGTGTGTGTGAATGGTGTGCGTATGTGTATGTGTGAATGTGCGTGCGCTTGGGTGTATGTGCGCTTGGGTGTATGTGTATGCGCTTGAGTGCATGGCAGAAGAGGCAGAGTGGAAGGAGGGACAGCGTGCAAGAAAGCTTGCTTGTTGTTGTGTCAGTGCGGCTTTAGGTTCATGCTGAAGAGATCAAAGCCACATCTCATACCAGCAGCGTGCGGAGAACGAGCGCTTCGTGGTCGCCAGATGAATGCCCGCACCCTTCAGTGTGGGGCAGAGCCACAAAGCGCGTGAGAGTGGGCTCCCTTGCAGCGTTGCTCCTGTTGTTGGCGTTCAGGCGCTGGGCGATGCGCACAGCAACCTGAATGCAAGAAAATGTCAGTGATTGGAAATGGCGACCAGAAACAAACGACACAGGCATGCATGAAGTGTGCCATGTGCAATGTTGCAAGGAGGACAATCGAAGCACAAATCGAAGTACAAATTGAAAGACAAGCAAAAGACAAAGAAAACTGCGGGAAGGAACTGCAGCGCATGGCGTCAACACACAAAGGACAAGGGCCACGTTCAGGAGCTTGGCGCAACCAACCGACCTGGCCTGAACAGAGGCTTGTGGGAAGAATGAGGCCCACACGATCTGATGCTTGATTAACGTCATTGCGCACCATCACGTTCCCACCGCTCACACCCAACAGCTGCGTCTGCTTCAAGACCGCCTCAACATCAACGTGTGTGGGCGCAGACAACGCAAGCGCTTGCCCTGCAGAGTGTATGTGTGTGGGGGGAGGGGAACACGTAAGTGTGTGCTTTGACGGAACATGTGTGCAAAACCTGTAAAACTGAGAAGAGTTGAGCAAGTCGAGCGTTTGTGGGGGAAGGGATGTGAGTGGAATGCATGACGCACCGCTTCTTGCTGCGTCTGCGGAGGACGAATCGACTGCTTTGCCTGTCGATGACTCGGATGCGCTCTCCTGCTGAATGGCCTGCATCGCACAGGCACCGTCACATGAAGCAAGGGGACAAAGTCAGCCGTGCCTGCATGCAACCATGCATTACACGCCGAGCCAAACATTCAGCAGTGAACGAACACATGACAGATGTGCACGACGTACGAGCATCCAAACCTCCTGTGTTGTGTCTCCGCTTCTGCGCTGATCAGTGTCGTCCTCATTGTCAGCGGGTTCGCCCTCAAGTGCGGACCAGTTGCGCCACAGCTGCGTCTGGTTGGTGTGAATGGGTGATGAAGGCGGAGGGAAGGCTGAGATGGTGGAGATGGCAGACGGGATTTTGGTGCAAGACGATGGAAGCGCTGGATGTGTGTGGAGCAGGGACGGTGTTGTACAAGCTCATGCAGGCCATTCCCCTGCACAAACACGCATATGCATGCATAAACACACATACACACCTGGTGATGGCCTGCAATTTCGCCCTTTGACGGGTGGCCGGACGCGATGCGGATCAGCTCCTTGTACGCGGCCTCACCCAGCTCGTCCAACGTCAGCTGGTGAGTGGCCGTGGTTGGTCGTGATGATGGTGGATGCGTGCGGGAGAGGATCGGGAGTGGCGATGTTGAGAGTGATTGTTGGTGGAGAACGGTCGTGAGTTGGGAGCTCGGGCAAAGGCGATGCATTGTGTCGGGTGGACGACGATGAACAACAACGCCAAAAAGCAAGTCTCTACTGCAGGCGCGAAAGGTGAACTGTCTCCACCTTTCCATCGAGGAAGAGCCCGGCGTTGATGTCCATATCCGTTTCCAACAGTTCAAATCGCGCCGTTGTGGTCAGCGCCTATGTGTTGCATATTTTGTGTGTGTGTGTGTGTGTTTTGCATGCACGTGTACGTGTACGTGTGCGTGCGTGTGTGTGTGTGTGTGTGTGTGTGTGTGTGTGTGTGTGTGTGTGTGTGTTTTGCATGCACGTGCAGACGTGTACGTGCACGTGTACGTGTATGTGTGTGTGTGTGTGTGTTTTGCATGCACGTGCGGACGTGTACGTGTGCGTGTGTGTGTATGGGTGAAGCATGTGCGCATGACACCGGCATACCCAGTGTACCTTGAGCGTGGGCACGAAAGGAAAGTTGGTGACGGATCCATTTCCGGTTGTGAAGAGAATCACATTGCATCCTGTTGGCATCACCAAACAGCAGAGTTTGAGATGGTCGATCGGAGTGCGTTTCCTGAGACATTCATCATCGTTGGCACGACTCATGGAGTAGACATACCCAGTCACTCACTCGTCCCAACACACCCGTACTCGCGCGCGCACTCATGCGCGCTCGACGTCTGAGAACAGTTGCAAACCCTCAAATCACACCTGAGGCGACCTGCCCGGCGATGCTCTCAAGATCGTTTCCCGGACTGTCCATGAAGGAATACCCGCTCCCCTGATTGTGTGATTTGTGGTGTGGTTAATATGTGGCAAGGGGGATGAGTCAGCAAACGAGACCGTTCACCGTGGCTCCAACGAAGGCCTTTAGTCGCCCCCTTTGGAGCATCACCATCGCCATCATGGTCACCTTGCGCAGCAGCAGTTCTCCATATTCAACGACGTGATCCAACCGCACGTCCGGCAACTTCTTCATCGCCGCTCCCGCGCTCTGCACACACACACACACACACACACACACACACACACACACACACACACACACACACACACTACGTACGTTA